CCTTCGAAGTTTTCCTTTTGGAAAATGATATTGCAAACAAGTAAGGACATTGTTGACAGTGCGAATAATTTTAGCCCTCAGCTGTATAAACTGAAAATGTAACAACAACAGTTCCCTAAAGAAAAATAAATGCACATGTATTCGACAAAAATCAACTGGTGCAAAACGAATCACTTATATTCAAGATTTCATGCAGTCGCGTGAAATTTCTACAAAACCAAAAAGTGATACGTAAATGAAGAAAGAACCTTAAAATGCGTCTGTAGATAGATTCTTTCCTGTTGGCATTAACTTCCGAAAGTTTGACATTCTCTTTAGCTTTGCTTTTAAATTGGTTTACCGAGCTAAAAGCAATACACATGTATGGGCGCGTAAATTACTTTTAACAGGCCCCCCCTGACTTGAAAGAATATATAGGATACAGTATTAAATCGTATCCTTAACTATATCAACACAGCTAAAACATTTTCTCCGAGGATTTCACGGTCTATGCATGCGTTGCTTCTTTCATCTTCCTCGAAATCAGTGTATTTGTATATCATTGTATTATCAGAGTGTTTTAACAGAGAGTTTATAATAAAGTTCCGTCTACGCATACTTAATGAATTTATAATCACTTTCTTTTGTCTGCATTCCTAAAAATAGGTTAATGAAGTATTCAAATTTATGTTGGGTTTACATTTCTTCGAAAAAGTGACTTGAAAGTGAGCTAAAAGTAGGCAAGGTTTTAGCCTGTGTAGCAAGCGTTTCCGCGCGAGTTCGTCGAGAAAGTTGAGACGAGACCTAGAGAGAAAAAAACAGGCGCACTTGCTAAAACTCTAGAAGACTGTGAAAAGGCTTGCCCCGTAGGCTTGTAAAATTTTAGTTACTGCAGTAACTATAATTGTAATCAGCGTTTAGCTTAATTTGTGAAAAACTACCTTAAAATATCGTATTTTACTGGCCGGGAGAATCTCGAGTTCGTCAAGTTCGCGAACTTATAACTCGAACCAAAGCCTCACGTGATCCCCGATAATTCCAAAGAAAAGCCCCCTCTCTGTAGCCTCCCACGCAGACATCCTTAGGCGTGCGTCACGCGTTCCTTCTCCGCGTGACGCACACCTAAGAATGTTTGCGGGGGAGGCTACCTCTCCGAAGAGCTTCCAAATATCGGGATACTACTGTATAAATTTGCCAAACGCTGACTATACTTTTTTTTGTGGTTTTCAGGAAATCTGTTGATTCGGTCTGGCATGATGGACTCCCGAATAAGTTGCTGCAAATTAATGTTGGTGGTTGTTTGTTATAATTTAATTAAAATTTGTTAGTTTCAATGCAACTCTGCATGCTCAATAAAAACTAACTTGCCCAAAACCAACACAAATTATGCAAGAGTGAGATGAGCAGTAAGGCTGTCATTTTTGTTACTAAAAATGCATCTATGCATTTAAAGTCTACTAGACAAAATTAGAGTATGTACAGTATTCATCAGTTGCAGAAGCCACGCAGATGTAATAGCAGGGAAGGCGGAGCGCAATTTCAACCGCTGGGGGGCTGCGCTTGAAAACTCGTGCCGGAGACGCGAGTTTGTTGTGGGGGCGGGAGGGGGGATCTGGGATCTGAGAGCATTCTCCCTCAGAAAATTTTGAAACCTAGAGGCTCGGAAATGGTATTTTTAACGAATGAGATGTTTCCTTGACGGGATCGAAAACTTTCAGGGTCACGTAGAAAAGAGAAAGCTCTTAATGTCCTCCATAGTTTGAGACGACACACGAATCCAAGTAAAACAGAAACGGCTCTTTTGCCCCTATTCTGACATATAATAGTGAAATTTGGGGTGTGTGTGCTAAGATACGGCCTTTGCAGTACTTTATGTACATATATGGTCATACAGTTAAAACTTGTTGTTGTTGTTGATGTTGTTGATTGTAGTATTATGTGTCGCTTCAGACGCTTTTACTTCATCCTTCTATAAGGAGAAAGATATGCCGACTTTGGAATAGCCTTCCCACTGAGTTACGGCTCAGCTGGGTACGGCTGTTGAGCACTCTCTAAGGTCTTAATGGCTGGTTTACCCCATGTATTATCTGGATTACAGTTCGTGGATGTAATTCCTGGTTCTAGTTTCCGGATTCTTCAACTTCTTCAACTTTATTTAATAAAAATATTGACTACAATAGACTGGCCTGCAAAATAACAATTGCTGATCTAGGCGGACCAGTTAAAAGAAAAATAAAGTGAACGGAAAGGAATGGAAGGAAACTACTTTAAATTATAATAAATAATATTTCTATCGTAGTTTTATTTTAATTACATTAAATCTACTAACAACTGTACGGAGATCTACCAGCAGTCAGCAACAAAATCGCCTCTCGTAGGCTACAACTTGCGGGACACTGTTGTCGCCATCCAGAGCTAAGTACCCAGAAATTAGTCCTATGGGAGCCCATACATGGTCATCGCGGGAGAGGAAGACCGAATACTACCTATATTGACACTCTTAAGAGGGATACTGGGGCATTCGAAGCAAGTGAGATTGCTGTACTGATGGCTGATAAGAGGCTGTGGAAAGATCTAGTGGTTGCCCGCCTTCGGGCGACCAAGTGAGTGAGTGAAATCTACTAAGGAGTGACGAAAAAGGAATTGGCAGAGTGCGAAAAATAAAAAAACGAAACAAAATAAATACTTTTGTACAGAAATCACTTGACTGTTAATCGAACTTTTTCCTCTATTAATGACGTCTCAATATAGTCATCTTCTCTTTTTAAAATGTCGGAAAGCAATCTTTGAAGCACTTTCGTAAGTTTCTTTTTAGGAAGATCTCTAATCATGTTCCGGATTCTTTGTCGGTGAAACTTGAATTCCGGATTCCATTCGTTAGTGGGTTTCCGGATTGGTTGACCTGTTTTCGGGATTCAAAAGCCAAGGACTTCGGATTCCACAAGCAAAAAATTTCTGGAATCCGGAACCGGAATCCAGATTCCGGATTTCCTCACGTGGGGTGCGCTGGCTGTAAGCAGTTTTTCTAATTCTCTATTAGACTGCTAGTAGTCCCTATTTTTCCTCAGGGACAGTACAGCGAGCGAAACACGAGCGCGCGTGAAAATCACCCCACGCGAGAAAGGCGAGACGTGGTGCTGCGTCTCGCCTTTCTCGCGTGGGAAGAGTACTTTTCATGCTTTTTTTAGAGTACTTTTCATGCTTTGAATAGAAATTGTTATTGACTCTTGTTGTAGTTGTAGTAGAAAATAACGGATCTTTTTAAAGTCTTGATGAGATTTTTAATTAAATAAGTCGATATTCATTCATCATTTATCCATCCATCCATTCATTCCCAAATTATTCATTCAAATCATTCCCCTGGCACCTCGCGTTAAAAATCGTCGTTGCGAATCGTCTCGTCTAATATTAACTTAATTTGGCCGCGGTCAAACTAGAGAAATTAGGGCCGGTGCTTTAGCAACGACGGTGGTGACGGCTATGAGAACACGCTGGGGCCAAACCACGCCCCAAATTGACTATAAAGTGTCCTGAAGTTTGGTTAATTTGCAATAACTTTGTTGGCTCCAACTCTTGCCTGTCGTGCCTTAGCAAACTTTGTTTGTCTGCTTGTTTCGTCCAAAGGAAAATTCATCGCAGTTTTCGTCACTGGATTTGTCAAAAACACCACTTTCACAGTTCTCACGTTTAGTTATCGACAAAGAGATTCTCCTCAAGGTCTTGCCTCAAATTCAGAGGAGTCAATGACGACAGAAATGGAATTTATTCACTGATCTCTTAAGACGGTAATTTCTGACGTCATTTTGTTTGTTTATCCTTTGCGCTGCGCCCTCGTCAGGGGCCTAAAACTGCGCGCGCGTGTCACACGCGCGATGGCACAATTTGTGCTAAAAAGTATTATAACCTTATCATAGTAAACAAAGGTTGCTATTAGATAATATGATCTTTAAACCTAGCCAGATGCAGTTTAAAAAACTTAACTGCCAAATATCAACTTCTTTCAAACAGTTTTTTTTTTTCGACCAAAACCATCTCCAAAACAGCAGTGGCGGATCCAGGGGGGGGCCAATTTTTAGGCCAAACTGAGGCCCGAAGGGCCGAAAAGTTTTTTGGAGACCGCCTACGCCCCCCCCCACTCTTTTCAAAGGGTCTGGATGACTGCCCCCCTCTTATCTCAAGGTTTGGATCCGGCCCTGAATATCCATGAATAGCCATTATAAAAACTAAGAGTGCAACCATTGCTTTTTTGTCTTCTCCTCCGGTTCGTTTCTCCTCGCTCTTTCTTCTCTTTTTTTCCTTTTCCTTCGCTGGTGCCGGGATTATCGAACTTATCAGGCGCAAAAAACCTACCCTTTGGCCCTTTTTCAATCAAATGGCTGTAAATTTCGTTAGATTCGTTTTCAAAAGATGTGCTAGAAATATTAACTCCTGCAAGCAGAATACTGCAATGCTGATAGCGAAACAGCTGTCCATGGCTACAATCCCTCTCTGTTTTGCTTCCGGTGTCGTTCAGTGTAGTACGATCAGCATTGCAGTATTTTGCTTGCAGAATTTAACGTCTACTTGTTATTTTTGCTGATCAGGTGTTTATAGATCCTACGTTCTCCGGCATATTCGTTTGCGGTCCTTTGCAGTCCTTTGTGTTTAATATTCGTAGAAATGCAAAGGCGGATTTTACAACGGGTCCGTCTGAGTGTAAATAAGAAGAAAACATAAACTTATCGCGAGCACAAAAATCGGCCCCATTTTTCATTTAGCGGACAGAATAATTGACCCAAGAATTCTTCTCCAAGCTTACTAATGTGATCGAACGTGATTCGTGACAATTTTTTTTCTTGTAACTGTACGATTTTTAGCTGGATGAAAAATTTCCTCATTTTGGGTTTTTTTTTTTCTTCTCTCGTCAATCACCCGACCCCTCCATCAAAAGGTGAAAAACGCTCGGACTTTTGTCCCAGTCGACCCAGTCTCTTCGAGGAGGACATAGAAAGACTGGGGCAAATTTACATGAAATTTCTAAGATGGCGGCTGTTTCAGAACAATGGTGTATTTCAACAAGAATTTTTCTTATTCTGGTTATTTTATCGACATCTGCCAACGTCCATGGCTGGGATTCTATTGATCTTGAATTATTTGACCTTGTGGAAGAAGTCAAAGATAATTTTTATGGTGTTTTAGGGCTTAAACAAGTGAGTACAGTAGTGTACTTTTACTTCGGTTGGTTCTGACCACAAACTGGTCGTATATTGTTCGGATAAAAGCTCTCTTTTTACCTAGTGACTATTTTTATTGGACCCGTACACCGACGTGTGTTTGCTATTCATACGGGATTCTGACTATATTGTTTAGAGTTAAGCACTGACAATACTGATTAGGGTTAGGCACTAAAAATAGTGTTCAGGGTTAAGCACTGACTACATTGATTACTTTTAAGAATTGACTGGAAACGGTAAGCTTCTTTTTTAGGTTTAAGAATGTTGCTATATATACTGAAATCAAAGCATCCACTACATCGCTAGGCATTGAAATACCTAGTGATGTAATAAGGTAATCGCCAGCAGTCGCTTAGGCCCTCTTCAGGGGTTTACTTACATGTATGTCCCTGGTCTAAATTTCAGAACGGGTCATTTCGCCTTTTGAGGAGGAGACCATATCGCTGTCAGTATTCACTATTGTTTTTGCTATTGTCTTTGTCGCTGTCACAGTTTCATCCCATCTTCATGTCGTTTGTCGCCGTTTCAAGGCCATGTCTCTTGTCAAATTTTACCTAACAGGGCCTTGTAACTACACCCCGGGTTCGAATCAATTGTCTCGGGTTTGCATAACTGTCTCGAATTCTCCCAAACCCACTCTTGTTTATATCAGGCTATGCAAACACGGAAAACATTTTCTATTGCTCAAATGAATGTGGCACTCCCCTCACCCCCTTAATTTATTTGGGCATACAGAACTCACTGCAATAATTTACTGGAGTGATTGCTAAACAACAGCTTCCCAGTGGGCAATTACCTACTACCGAAAGCAACCTTTATTGAATCTTTAGGTATAAAATTTTATTTTTTTATATTGTATTTTTAGTGAACACCTTTCCACCTTACTCATTCCATATAAAATACTGTTTTTGTTAATAATGATGATATTGATTTCTTCTGCAGGATGCAAGCCAGGCAGATATCAGAAGAGCGTATCGTAAACTTTCTCTTCAGTTACATCCTGATAAAAACAAAGAACCTGACGCTGAAGTCAAGTTTAGACAGGTAAAATAATGTAGAAAGTATGAATACATCATATGACTCTGAAAGGATGAACTGTATTTTTATTTTGTTTTTTATTTTTATTTTTATCACATGGAAAAGCCACTAGTATGGATTTTAGAGACCAGGTCTAAAAACAGATGTGAAAATTGGGCAAGGGTTGTTGGCTTTATATGTGACGACTTTGCTAAAAGATGCCACTTCTGATTTTGTATAAAAAGTAGTGCTCTGCACATGGGCAGAATCTACTAAAACCACAGACAAAATTTTACAATGAATTTGATAAGTCCATTCCCTGCGAACAGAGCAAAATTTTTGAACAGTCGGTTACATGAACACAACATGTCAAATTTTTCAGTAAGTTAAAATTCCTCAATTATCTTGTGAATGTAGCCAAACATATTTTATTGATATTGCTGTTACTTTTACCTGATATCACACTTGTTTAAATGTTGAAATTAAATGTTAATTTTGTCATTTTCCCCAGCTTGTTGCAGTCTCAGAGGTTCTTAGAGATGAAGAGAAGAGGAAGAGGTAAAATCGGTGATATCATTATTAAATTTGTTCATGTTATCACTATTATTTTGTTTAAAAATATCAACTTACTTTTGTCTTTTGGTTGAGTGTGATATTTAATTTCAAACAAGATATACATCTAGCCACATTTTAAGTAAGGATTAAATGGAAATTATTTGTCAGACAACAAGCATGAAGGAGCAAATCATGAATAATATATAATTATGATAAATGATAAATATAACAAATAATATTCAGGGTTTGCAAATTTATTGATGGGTGAACTCAGTGTAAGTTCTGCTTTGCAAATTTTGGAGTCAAGTAACACATTGAAAAACGAAAAATAAGCAATTGAATTTTATTGCACCTCCAATTCCCATGTGACTCCCTGTCGACTGAGCTGTCAGATTTCCTCCAATCAACACGAAGCGCAAACTAGCGCGAATATGTGCCAATCAGCATTCAGCATTTTGTATTGACTTTTTCAATGCAGATATTCAAATTCCAGAGACGTAGCTCTCCTTCCTTTTCCTGCCCTGCCGCCAGAGTGCCCCAGAGAGCTTCCTTCCGCTCTGTGGTCAAGCTAATCCTGTGTAGCTATAAAGAAGAATCGTTAATTTTATGATTATAAAAGCACTTTATTTTTACTTTGGTGAAACAAGCAAATATCCACCATTTTTATTTTTTGAATTCTAGAATCCAGATTTGTTCCTTCTGGAAGAAAATAACTTTTTGTCATTTTATGCTAATA